TTTCCAAGAGTACCATTCGGAACCAAAACAAGCTCTGCATTATTAACAATGTCCATAAAATATATGCTTGATCGCAACAAGCAAACAGAATTATGTCAGCAAATCGCACGCAATCTTTATGTTGACAACATGGTGTTAGGAGCTAACTCTGATGAAGACGCAGTCGTAAAATATCAAAAGAGCAAGCATATTTTCGAAGAAATGTCAATGAATCTTCGTCAGTTCGCAACAAATAGTTTATTTCTACGACACAAGATTGCAGAAGAAGATAAAGAACCAAACGAAAACGTAAAAATACTCGAAATTCTATGGAACACATCAAACGATACCATTCTATTAAAATCGGAGCTGAAATTTCAGCAACATCCCACTAAAAAAAGTTCTTCAAACAATACATTCGTCATTCGATCCACTAGGGTTATTAGTCCCAGTATTGATACCAGCTAGAATTTTCCTGCAAACTTTATGGGTCAAAAAATATGATAGGAAACCGCTTTCGGAAAGTGATAAAAACAGATGGGAAACAATATGCCTGGAAGGCAGCAAATTCGTAAAATCCCTGAAGAGATTTATCGGCACGAAAAAGACAGAATGTTTTGAATTATGTACGTTCGTAGATGCATCAACAAACGCATATGCGGCGTGCTCATATCTCCGCAGTAGTAAGGACAACATAATAGAAACGGAACCAATTTGTGGAAAGTATCGTCTAGCGCCAGTGAGTTATCTTACAGGCAGATCTTCAGCCACAATACCGAAATTAGAACTTCTCGCAATTTTTATTGGTTATCAACTGACAGATTACTTGCTCAACGAACTCGACATCAAAATAAGTAAAATTCATATCTTCTCGGACAGCAATATTGCCCTCTCACAAGTACATTTTGAAAAAGCGCCGGAACATTCGTAAACAATAGAGTACGCAAAATCAGAGTTCGTCAGCGTCTTGGACGCAAAAACACATAGAAACATGTTGTTACTATATCAATACAGCGGAAAATCCAGCCGACTGTGCTATGAGAGGATTAAAAATTTCGGAATTCGGTGACCACCAATGGTGGACAGGACCAAGTTTTCTTCGTGCGAAAGAAGAAGAATGGTCATCTGTCACAAAATACGAAATGAAATGGAATGATTCTGAGGTAGTAATGAAAATTTTTCTGAAAAGCGTAAATGAAAGAACTCCTATATTCCGCTATGGATTATCGCAGTGGGATAAATTAAGAAGATCAACGGCTGTAATGTTGAAATTTATCAAGAAAATCGCAAAAAATCGTTATAGTAAAACGGAAAACGATGAGATGCAATCGAACTGCAAAGAACTATATTACATATCGGATCTAGTAGAACATAGTGCGAAAGACCTTATTTTGGCCGAAAACGTACTCATAAGAGACCACTATCTTCATATGACAAGTGAACAATTCCGAAAATACGAATACTTACACTTGTACCTCGACAACAACATTTATAGATGCAGCAGCAGATTAGAAAATTCACATCTTGGAGAAGAAGCAACTAATCCTATACTTATTTTGCCATATCACCAAATCGCAAAAGCGCTTATCGTACATTATCACAAGAAAATAGGTCATCAAGGAGTCAATTCAACTCTGGCGGCGATTCATCGAAAATACTGGATACCGCAAGGTCGACAAGTAGTCAAAAAGGTTCTTCGCAATTGTATTACTTGCAAAAAAATGCACGGGTTACCCTACAGGTACCCGGAACCTCCAGTTCTACCTTCAGAAAGAGTTCGACAATCGTACCCCTTCGAAAACGTAGGTATAGATTATGCTGGACCATTCACAGTTAAAATTCTTAATAACGTACACGAAAAGAGATGGATTTGTTTATTAACATGTATGACTACAAGAGCTATTCACCTAGAAACAGTTGACGGACTCTCAGCTATAGACTTTATACAAGTCTTGAGAAGGTTTATAGCTCGAAGAGGCACCCCACGATACGTAATATCGGACAACGCTACGACCTTCAAGCTAGGGCATGACGTCATCGAACAATTATTGACAGAAGATAGGATTTCAACTAAAATAAATCATTTTCTTAGCACAAACGGAATATCCTGGAAATTTATCACACCTTCATCACCATGGAAGGGAGGTTTTTACGAAAGGTTGATCGGAAATGTAAGGGCATGTCTACGTAAGACTGTCAAACGTAAATTTCTACATATCACCCCATGGAACTTTGAACCTGACTATGATCCAAGCTTCAGACTGTTATCATGGAAAAACGAAGCAATACAGTTGTTAGAAGAAACACGAAAACTACTCAAAAAATTCTGGGAAGTCTGGTCGCAAACTTATCTTGATAGTCTTCACAATCTACGAATTCAAGTAGCAAAACAATCAGCAAAAATAAGCCCGCAACAAGGAGATGTAGTACTATTAATGGACGAAAATAGTCCTCGAACAACATGGAACATGGGAATCGTAACTAAAGTACACACCGGCGAGGATTAAGTTATCCGATCAGCGGATGTTCGTAACGTGAAGGGAAACATTTTGCGCCGATCGATCAACATGCTCATTCCGCTAGAACTTTCAAGCGGTGAATCATATTCCGATGCAGTTGAAGCTCAAAGCACGCCATCGGAAGAACACATTCGAAGAGTACAACCACCGCGGAAAGCGAAGAAGAAAGTAACGTATGCCGAAAAAGTGGACGTGATACCAAACAGCTTTGCGAAGATAGGCATCAATACATCGCTTTTTCTTACATTGCTGGTACAACTGATTATCAACAATAATCAGTTGTACTTCAGCAGACGTAACGGCAAAGGACAATAACGTCTCTTGCGTAAAGGGAGGGATTCTTTTAAGTAATCTCACACCAGGTACATCGATTCAAGCATGCGCAACAGATTATTTTATTGAAACACAAACATTTGAAACGCAAATTTCCGTAATGCTTCCAGCAAGCATCTGCTTACACGAGCACACCGTAAGAGTAAAATGCAGATACCTCCAGGACACTACAATTCACATCCTTACGTGTCCAGCCAGTCCCTTTTGTGAAATGATAAACTGTTATTTCTGCTCTCTTATGATTAACAATCCGGACTGTTGGCCTCGTACTGCTATAGCCATGGCAGCCATGTTCGCATACATCGCCATCGTGACTCTCGCAGTCGCAATATGCGCAGGCAGAAAGCTTATCAGATACATACATCAACTTTATGCAAAGCTCTTGCGCGCAGAAGACAAGAGTGATAACATTCCTCTAGTCGCCATTTCTTCAACAAGGAATGGCCTTAAGAGGTCGTCGTACGTTTTCATCAGTATTTTCACATTCGTGATTTTTTCATACGTAACTCCAATCCTTTCTTGTCAACAGGTATTTCCTATCGTAACCGATACCCTACAATGTTCCGAACAAGACAAGTTTTGTCACACTACGAAAAACATCGTGATAAAGTTGAGCCCTCACACAAAAGAATTTTGCGTAACTCTCATAGCACGAGGCAGTATATTCGAGCAAATCAAAATTAACCTTAAGCAGATCTCTCTCAAATGCAATGCAAATACCCTATATTTCTCTCGTAATCCGCAAACAAGAGTACAATCTCGTAAAAGATGCGCACATATGGGCTCATGTGTAGGCGAAAAATGTAGACAATTTAACTCCAAGTCTCTTATTGAAGAATTATCGGAAGCAAATAAGCACCCCGGTTTGACTTATTGTTCGGAATCTTGCGAATTCTGGGGCTGTGACTGCGCATTTCCTTCTCCAGGTTGCCTTTTTTATCGTATTTACAAAGAGCCTCTTGACAACGAAACTTATGAAATCGTAAATTGTCCCACTCGGTCGCAACACATTGAATTGTTCTATGAAGTCTATCGCAAGTTCGGCAAAACCCATAAGTTCCATTTATCTGTGATACCGAACGTTGAGAAGAATATTTTCAACGCTTTGCTTTCTGTTACGAATCTCGCATTGCCTCCCATACCTTTTCTTAGTTCTCACTTTATCATCAGTAAAAATCATACCGCAATTATCGAAAATGAATATACGCCTTCATACTATTGTCTTTCTCGTAATGATACCCACTTATCGCAATGTACAGTCATTGATACATGTAAATGTACCCCAGCTGAAAATGAGGCGCTTTGTTTTTGCTCTAACGAAAAACCAAGTGATCTTTTTACACTTACGTCTACGCTACCAATCACGTACCCTAATTTTGTAATCGTGCCTAAGTCGAAAGTAAATCCATATCCCAGAGTAATTTCATAGGTAGCGTCAGTCGAAATCTCATTATCATTAAACGTAACAAAATCGAATGTCAGCATGATCGTAGACGAATTTACTTGCGCCATTCGTACATCATCCCTCATTGGATGTTACAACTGTAGACGAGGTGCCAAAGTCGATTTTACTTGTCAGTCCAATGTCGTACAAGCTCTAGCACAAATCGAATGTGAATCGCAATCATTCGCAATTCCATGTTCGGACGCACCGATAACCACTTCAGTTTATTTCGCATTTAACAAAGCTAACATTAGAACAGTTTGTTCTGCAAAGTGCGAAAAAAACACTGTGCTCCTCGAAATCTCGGGTATCTTGCAATTCATCAACAATTTCGCAGATATCCCCTTTTTTCGCAACTCATAAAAGTTCCATCAATCACTGACGAAAGCTCAGAATTTTCCTTTCCAGACATCTTCCAGTTATGGACAGTCATAAAAACCTATATTGCGTACTCATTAACGATAATCCTAATCACTATTAGTGTCCTGGTGATATCATTCAAAACTATTTTATCATCTAACAATACTCGTAATCGTAAACGAAGCTGTTGGAAGTATTACTCGTATATACCATTTCTTACTCCTCTTTTATGTTTTCTTTACATACTTTCCCGTCCATTTGTCGTTATCGTATATCTTATTCGCACCCTTTGTAAATGGTTGTACCGCGTACTGTTCTACCGAATTATCCGCAAACTATGAAAGAACTTTTCTTTTTCAGTTAAAATGTCGGACGTCCCAGGTCCCTCGAAATATTCTGAAGTAGACATGGAAGAAAATGAGGAAGAAGACGGAAACACTCCCAACAACACTCCAAGCATGGACGCTTTTGGAGAAGAGGTCGCAAACCCAATTCAGGATCTGATCGATAAGCTCAACGAAGAGCTCGAACAGCTTCGCAAAGACGCAAAAGAAAAGGAAGTAAGTAAAATTCACATTTGAACAAAAATCGAAAGAGAAGAGCAGCAAACACGCAAAAAAAAGAAAAAAAATAAGTTGATGGTTTTCTACTTTTGAGATCTGGCTAAGCTACCGAAAAAACTCAACGGCCTCATTTTCAAGGGCAAGACGGAGAAAAACTAAAATGTCGGTCTCTAATGTTGTAAAAAGTTTCGAATTGAAATGTTTTCAGATGGCGGCGAAGAAAGCCAGGGAAAACCTCAACAGAATAGAGCAGCAACTCAAATCCTTACTTCACGAGCCGAGGACCCAACCAACGGAAAACCGAGTGCAGGAGCCCACGCCACAACCACAACAGAGGGCGGCAGTGCAAGAACAAGCGACGGATTCGCAATCGAAGTTTCAACTTGTGGAAAAAGGCAAGTGCAAATTTGCTTGTGGATCCTCCACCCATACGTACGCTACGGATTGCGATGTGTACGCAACCATCAGCGACCGCAGGGAGAGGATGAGGCAAATGCACCTCTGCATACGCTGTTTCCAACAGCACATGTCAAATGAAAGATTATGCGCAATCGTACCTTGTTTTTATTGTTCGACGGCAAACCGCGAAATGAAGAATCATATAAGCGCCTTGTGCCCCTTTGTTTTTCCTAAGTAAGCATAGGTTCGCGCAATCGTAAATCGTAACAAAGACATCCATTCTTGCAGATATCGTCATCAGGAAAAGAAGAAAATGACAGTGCTGTTGAAACACAAAGCTTTATTTTTAAAAAAAGTGATTTTTGATCGATTGTATAACTTTGTTATCTGGCAGATTGTTGTTCTTTGATTGTAAATGTAATAAAGTACAAATGTGGCCGGGCTTCCCCCCACTCAAAAAAAAGTTTCTTGCCTCTCCCCCCCCCCCCCCAACAAAAAAGTCGCAAACTGGCCCACTGTGAAAGGCTGAGAAACACTCGCACTTTCGGCAGGCGAGAGAGGGTGAGCTCCACGTGAACCAACGGGATCACTCGTTGACTCGGCGGCGGAGGAAAACCCAAAAAAAACAACAACAAAATTCTTCCAGGTGCGGGGCGGAGTGTCGCGAGAAGCGATAAAGAAAGGGCGGAGTCACAGTTCTTATAAAAGCTATGACTTCATGCATTGTCAAGGGACTTTTCAGGGTTTGCTTATGCCTTCTTGAATTGTGCTTGTTTGCATATTAGACTTTGTTAGTTGATATGTTGCTATGATATTTGGACAATAAATGATTGTGAGGATGTGAACATGGATGGAGGGGGGGGGGGGGTCGTACGGATGGGTACCTTCATGGGGGAGAGGGTCGTAAATAAGGGTCCCGGATCGCATCAGCACGACTTGACCTTATCCTGAATATTGGGTCAAGTCGTGGTTTACCTAAAGTCTGAAGCAAAAACATAAGAGACTCATAGTGCCAGAAATCGAATTTTTGCCTCAAAAAATACGAACCTCTCACTTGCTCTAGCATGTAGCAGACACATGCACTTATCCATGTGTGCACTTGCCATAATTTCGCTATTAGAAATCGGGAAAAATTGAAAATCGAAAAGTGGCTCTGCCCCTAGTAATCCTGGGTTCCGCCCTTATATGCAATTGTCTACAAAGTATACTTTAGTCTGAAACTTGGGTCTCGATATGCTCTAGTTCCTAAGAATTACCAAGAAAAAACCGAAAAAAGCTTTCTTTCCAACCAAACTGTCTGTTCCAGCTGTCAAAAAAAACAGCTCAATGCGCTTTTAATTCCCTTAAAGGACTTTGTAGCCAACTCCGTGGCAAACGGGATCGCCATCCATTGCATTGAAAGTATCCCTCGTCTATGCTTTTGTTCTAAAAAAATCAGTAAACATTTAGAATGAACATCAATGCAAGCAGACTTTACATAGTATGTTCTTATATTCACTAAATTTACAAATATTAGATGCATACGTTTGCGAGCACTACTTGCAAAATCATAACCTCTTGCTCGTTCGACTTTGCACAAACTTAATTTTGCTAGATAAAGAAAATCTTTCTTTGTAAATGTATCTTTGCTGCTTTCTCATAGGGGTGGCTTCTGAGATAGAAGCATGAGAGTAAAATCACTTCGACTGCAGTCATTCAAGTTAGGCTGCTGAAATTCAAAACTTGCTATAAAAATTCGGAGCAAACAGTGGTATAATTCTTGTGATCCACCCTTTCCGATTGTGCAATATTTGTATCAAATGAGCATCTCATCCATGAAGAGCTGGATTTTTGGGGAATTGAGGTTATAATTTTCAGGTCATCATGCTAAAAATTTAAAACTGCTATAAAATTCGGAGTAAGCAGTTAGTAAGTCTTTTGATTCGATCTTTCCATATGCGCAGAGTTTGTATCAAATTAGCAACGCTGTGAAGAGTTACGATTTCAGTTATGATTTTCGATAGAAATACCAAAAAATACAAGTTTGCTGTTTGTACCACTTACTCCAAAATCATAACTCTTCACAGAAAGCTCATCCAACACAAACTTTGCAGTGTTGTAAAGGGTGGATCAAAAGACTTACTTTACGGCTCGCTCGGAATTTCATCGTAAGTTTCAGATTTTTAACAGTCTAACTTGACATTACCAAAGTTAAAGTGATTCTATTCCTTCGCTTCTGTCTCAACAACTGTCCCTTACTAAAAAACATCGAAGGAACTTCCGCAAAGAAAAAGGTCCCGCTCTATATAGTAAGATTAAGTTTGTGCAAATTCGTCGAATGAGCAAGAAGCTATGATTTTTCAAAGATGGTGCGCAACAACTTTATATATGCCTAATATTATTTATATAGCAGCATTTGGGACGGGCCGCAAATGAAAGGGCAACATCAATAACCCTTAAGTTTAAGAGAGTCTATACCAAATTTCTACAAGACATGCGCGAGACCATCATTTAAAAAACCTAAATTTTCGAACTCTGCTACGATCAATCCCAGTTCTAATGTGAATGCTTCCATCCCTTTTCTTCTTCAAAGTTCCATCTTTTTCCGAAAACTGAAAAATCTAAAATAGTGAATCCAACCTGGAAATTGATGAAGCGATATTATCAGTAAAGTGTGCACAGACCAAAAAGTAAAAAATTTTTTAGTGCTTCATCAAACTCGATTATAACCCCGGCTATTTCTTTCTTTAATACAGGTTTGATCTGCGCATAAGTATGAAAAAGGAAATCAAAGACTGTAATAAATGTAATAAATTTATTCATGTGGTATTGCAAAGCTTAATGCTTTTTGGAGACAAAATTGAAAATACAAGTAACATACAGGATTACAGTGCTTTTTCATTTGCTCGAATGAACCAAATATGCAGTGTCCCAAAATTATGTTTCATTTGAATAGTTCACACTGTTGGTCGTTAATATCCCTCTTCTCAAAAAGTCTTTTGCCTATCCATAGGACCTTTCGTAGAGCTGGCTTTGACACGTTTCGTACCGCGAAATCGCGTGCGGCGAAAAAGAGTATTCTTTCATCCCTCAGCTAACAAAAAGACCTTATTTTGAAGATTGTGCGCTACATCTGTAACGACCATGTCAGAAAAGCTCCATACCCAAAGTTCTGGGTGAATTGAAGTGTTTGAATTTTGTCGTCTGAGAAGGACTTCTGTGCTTTCTTGAAAGATAGTAACAAGAACTCAGTTTCTAATTGTGTCCAAAAGCATCTACGTTGTACATGATACACATCATTATTGGAATTACGATTTTTCTCTTTGTATTCAAAGCTAAGAAAAGTTGCGACGTCGCACGCGTCGTTCGCGTTGCCGCACTTCGTTGCAACTGTTGTTCGATTTGTGCTTATATCTTCTAAACAGATATAGGCGGCACAACTCTACAGAGTCATCTGAAAAGTAGAAGCTTAGGCCTTTGACTTGTTAACCTTGGACTAAAAGAAAACCTCCTGTAAACGTCAAAAAGATCCTCTAGAGCAGCTGCACCATGTGCAGCACCGGTCCGAAACGGGGGTGGTGCAGGAGGAACCAAAGGGCTACCGCCTGTATCCGCGGGAGACAATTAAGAGCGCGAGCGCTATGGAGAATATTTTGGCAAGAATCCAAGATAACTTGGTAGGGACATCTTCTAGGAACAAATCTTCATAAGTTTGCCTGGAGATGACTTTGAAAAATTTTAAAAACAGATTTGTAATGCAAATTGGAAGGCGCATTCACTGGGCCTAAAAGTAAATGAAAATTTGGAATTGTAGTGGTAACAAATGTCAACTACCTTATAGAAACTTTTTTTTTCGAATTTTGAAGTTTCAAGTTGTTGAAGTCCAGGGTTTTCATTCAGAATTCATTCTTTCTTCTTTGAGATAAAGAATTACTTTGTCTTTTGATTCAATGAAATGTAATTAAAATATCATAAGAACACATCTGGAAGTTGTCAAGATGCAATATGCAGTTTGTCTCATACCTTCAAACCCATTCTAAATTTTTTATTTAATTTTTATTATTTAATTTTTATCTTATTAAACAAAAGGTCGAAAACTCCTTAAACCAGCTGTTTGTTGAAACATATTGCTTCTGATGTTTTGAAAGCAAAAAATGCAGTGATTGCTTCTATTTGAGTAGGATGACAGGCCGTAGGTGTTGCAAATGTTTCATATATTAGGATGTAACTGTACAAAAAAATTTCAAAGCCAGGGGACGCGATGGTGTTCAAAAATAAACAGGTGTCTTCATGATTTTTTCCAGCTTTCGGTGCGGGGTTTTTCAAAATTTTCATTCGAACTCGACAAAATTGGAAGCCGTTTTGAGATGTTATGACAGGTTAACATGCGCACCACACAGCAAAGCTTCAGACAGATTCATCAACAAGAACGCAAATTACGACGATTTCTAGAGTGTCTTTATAATTATGGCCAGCACTGTATTAAGTCGTTACGAAAGTAATGCCGCTTTTTTCAAATGAACGCCACATTTCGAGGAAACAAAATTTTCAAGAGCTTCAATCGATGCAGCATTTCGTGCTCCTTCCAAAGGTTGTGTTTTCATTGCACAATATTCGATGAGCTCTCAAGTAATTACCAAAACCTGCGACTCATGCTTTTTGTCATGGTCAAGTTCGGCTATTTTTCTATATTTTTGTACTGATTCTTCGAAGAAGTACAAGTAGAAGATATATAGAGCAAATACTAAAGGACATGAAACACTTTTTTTTCGATTCCTTAGCTTGCTTCTTAGAGTTTCTAGAATCAATTTTTCAGTGCTATCAAATTCCATATTTGGTCAACTCAAACGTCACAGAAAAACAACGCAAGCAACTCGGCTGTCATTTGATTCGACGCAGCTTGTTCTCTTCTTTTTACCAGCCTTTTGGTTTCCGATTCATAAAGTTTTCTCAAAATAAAATCATTACAATTCAAATTTCTCAGGGCGCCCCAGACTGTACCCCAAACCGAAAGCTGCTAATCTGAAGCAGTAAACGCTCATTTGCGTTTTAAAACTAGTGTCAAACCATAATCCAACTTTGTAGGTTGAAAATCCGAAAATTATTGGTGTTTGATGCATTTGGTCCTAGATAAGCGCTAAAATTCGGTGATTCCATTG